ACATCCGAGCTATTTATGGACAAAATAGGGATACAATTTTGAATTTCATTGTCTCCTCACTTGTCAAAACTATCTCGCATGCAGAATTCTATGGTCGAATGCTTATTCTTAAGACCCTATCCAGAATCAAACAGCGTGCAAACCATGCGTGGACGCTGATTGATTTGAAGGTAAGGGGCTGTTCGTTTGGCCAAAAAAACCTGGAAATCAAAAAATAGGAAACATATTTCCTATTATAATGGTTTTGAAGTTGTTTGGTTGGCTTAAAAAAGAAGGAAATTATAGAATAGGAGATGAGATGAGATGAGTTGTCACCTTATTATTGGATGATGTGAGTGATTTTTTAAAAAAACTTGTTTTGAGGTTGTTTGGTTGGTTAAAAAAATAAGGAAATGAATTGGAGGTATATTATTGGATGATGTTTTGAGGTTGTTTGTGTTTGGTTCGTTTTTAAAAATAAGAAAATAGATGAGATGAGATGAGTTGGAGGTATATTATTGGATGATGTGACACGTACTTAAGGAAATTAATTTCTTGTTTTTTTTTGAGGAAATGGATGGAAAGGAATGTTTAATGAGATGAGATGAGTTGTCACAATATTATTGGATGATGTGTGTGATTTTTAAAAATGAGATAAAATGAGATGTGATGAGTTGGATGATGTGACACATTTCTTGTGTTTGGTTTATTTTTAAAGGTAAGAAAGAAGATGAAATGAGATGAGTTGGAGGATAAAAATAATATTTTATTAGATGTTGTGGGTGAGTTTTAGGGATGGAAATGGATAAAAATATTATTTTATTGATTTCATTGTACCGATTTCCTTTTCTTGGTTTTTAGGAAACCAACCAAACAGCCCCTAAGGCTACCTACCTGGCTCTAAATCCACGAAAGATCTCCGCCATTAAAAATTCCAAATGCTCAGCAACCCAGGCTCCGCATTCCGAGGGAGAATTGCCACGTGTCAGTTCCTGGATGAGCCATCCGACGTGGCTATCAACCGGCCGCTCGCTTCTTGTCTCGCGATAGGGATCCACGCAATCTTCCCCCCTTTTCTCCTAATTATGATTTTGCTTGTTCTCTCTTTAAGACAAAAATCTCCATCTGGGGTTTAAATCAGCTGAAAGGGACTCGGAATATTGAGAGGAAAAAATTCACAGCCGGTTTTGAAGACCAAGAGTTCTTATCATTGCTCTTTTTTTTTTGTTTGGGACCCACCGTCTAAGTCACTTATATATTTGAAATAATGTTAGGGGCACACCCCCTAACACACCACCAACCACACCTCCCTCTCCCATCGCTACAGTAAACCGGGCCCCACATGGAATTTTTAAAATCCCATATGGGGCTCGGTTTACTGTAGCGATGGGAGAGGGGTTGTGGTTGGTGGTGTGGTAGGGGTTGTGCCCCTAACACCACTCTTTTATGAACTAGTGTGCGGTCTTTCTTTGTTTTCGTTATATTAATTTTTTTAATTACTATAGTATATTTTAAATGCTACATCATTTTTTTAAAATATTATAGTAATATTTTTTTTTAAAAATTCTACAGTTTCTCATATCTGTTACAGTAATATATTTTTAAAATGTTACAAAGTTATTTTTAAAAATGCTACAATATATATTTCTTTAAAAAATGCTACAGTGATAATGCTACAATAAATTACCGTAATATTTACTGTAGCATGAATAGTGATTCTTGGGTCCTCCCATTGTTATAGAGGAATATAAATGTAACGAGCCTAAATATACGCTTAGTTGTTTCATAAAACAGGGAACCTAAACTACAATTGGTTGTTTAGATCCTAACAACATCAAGAATTATTGCACATGGACTCTCAAAGACCAATGTCAATTTAAAAAAAATCAAATCAAATTTATTCATTCCATGTAATCTTCATGCAGCTGAGTTTGTAGTTGGAAGTAGGATTACTAGCACTTAAGATTCCTCAAAGTTTCACCCCCTTCTCATTTATATATACTTTTAGCCTATCGCACTTTTATGCCCTAAAACTTTTCGTCGCTAAATTAGTTCGGTGATATTGAATTTTTAATAAAAATATGACAACTACTTTGGTTACTAAATAGTCTTATTTTCCCTCTTTTTCAAAAAATAAAGAGTATAAAAATCTTGAATCCGTATGGTCGCGAGTGCAAATATTATAAGAATCCTCTTGTAGTGGGGGACGTTCTAACCCGTAAAAATATAAAGCGAGAGAATATTTTGATATTTTACGACATCTTACATAGCTCAAATCAGCCTCATAAAGTTGGGTCTTCTTAGGGGCTGTTTGTTTGCTAAAAAAAATGAGAAAAAAAAACTCGCCACGTCAGATTTTAAGAAATCCTCACTGTCACGTAGAATTTTGGTTTCAATCGATTTTCAAATCACATGTTTGTTTCGTTTTTTTATTTAAAGAAATAAGGATGCCACGTAGGATGTCACGTCAGATTTTTAAGAAAAGCGTTTTCACACCAAAAACCTTTGAAAACACTTGAAAATATCACTTCTATGGATTTTTAATTACCAAAAGCATTGTTGAAACAATGTATGTGAATAAAACAGATTATTTAATTGCTGAAGACACTGTTACTATTGTGGCTGATTTCCATTTTCTTTTTTTTATGTTCAAACAAGCACAAGAAATGAAAATCGAAACATTGATACTATTGCGGTTGGATTTGTTTCTTATGTGACATGGCGGTGACGTGACGGTGATTTTATTGCGAAAAAAATGCGGGAAATCTCCTAATCTCTTGAAATGAGTTGAAATGTGAGTTTTCCATTTTCGATTTTTTTCGAAAAACAAACAAACATGCCCTTATAAGAGTTAAATTAATGTGGCACTTACATATGAGTTTTTTAGTGGATATTTTAATGGGATATACTAATATGCTATTTATTTTAGCTATAATAAGGGGCTGTTTGGTTGCACACTTTTTGAGAAAACTTTTCTCAAAACATCTGACAATGATAAATTTATAATTAAATTTTTTTCAGAGATTTCTGTAAATTGTGTTTGGTTCAACAAAAAATTTACAGAAATATTTTCTATAAAATATCAAAACCTACTAAATTTTACAAAAAGCAATTTCCTCTCAAAATGAGAGGAAATCATCAGAAATCTGACACATACCATATTTAATTAAAAACCTACCAAATCTTGTTATTTTCTATAAAGTTATGAGATATTTTCTTGTTTTGAACCAAACAAGCAAAGTAAAAAAACAAGAAAATTGATACTTTTTGATTTCTCAAAACTTTTCCTATAATTTTTTTTAAGAAATACAAGGAAATCATATTTTAGATGGAAAACATTTCCTATAATTTCTAGAAATTGAACCAAACACCCCTAAGAGCACGGGCTGAGGGTAGCCTACAAATAAAAGGGAAAGTAAGGTAAATAAGATATTTAAGCGCTAATTAGCCTTTTGAATTGCCACAATTCGAAAATTTTCATCGTAATTGCGGCCCCGGATAAATCGCGGTTGAGCGCGAGCCACGTGGCGGATATTATCGGCCAAGGTTGTTGACTATGGACCCCACAAGACTGGCAACGACGTGGGTCCCCTCGCGAGTCACGTGCGCTGTTTGTTTGTTTAACAGCAAAATTAAAACCCTCGCTCTCTCAAATCTCAACTATCAAAATCTGTTCTTTTAGAGCTCGCAGCTCTCGTCACTAGATTCTCTCTTCGATTCACCGCGATCAATGAGCTAGGGCTTCATATTACTTCGATTGAGAGAGATGAGGGCGAGTTCGAGAGGATTCTCTGCTGCTCCGGCGATTCCTAGGGTTGGATCTTTGCCGGCGAACTTCCAGTGCTTGGAGCTCCGGCGAAGGACGATCGGAAAAGGGATCCGATGCGAAGAAGGCGGCGACTGAGGATTGGAGGCCGCCGGAGATGAAGAAGAGTCTGAGGAGAGTTCGAACGTCGGCGATCTCCTCTGTTCCGTTTCCATCTCGAAGGTACTTGTCAAATCCAGGAAACTTTTTGTTGAATTCCGCTTAGTTTTGTTGATATTTTCTTGGAATGAGGATTAGCTTTTTTATCTCAGCACGGAGTGTGAGAGCGTGTTTCATTGTTGAATTATGACGTTTAGTATTAGGATCGAACCCTGGAAACCCTAAATAAATTGACAATTTGATTCCCGCTGACCTAATGTTTTAAGTCTAAGTTTATTTTTTTTATTGCATAATTAGGTCTCATCGTGGAAGCATTCTGAGTTTTTTGGTAAGAGGCCGTGCATTATTGTGCTTGACTATACCGATATTTGTTAATGTAGGTGCCATTTCACTCGACCGGTAGAAAGATCAAGTGTACTGGTGGAAACAGTGTTTTGATTGTTAATATCATTGTTAACATATAAAATTAGAACTCTCGAACCTCACCACAAATTCGGAGTTTTAGTATAGTGGAAGGGTCTTTTGACATCGTTTCAGAGCAAACCAGGTTTAATCCCCACTAGAAAGAAATTTAAAGTTGATTAAAGAAAGATAATGCTGCGTGGGTCCAGGTTTTGGCCCTTGCTTGACCTGGTTTCTATAAAATTTTCAGGTCTTGTTGAGTGTTCTCGAATTTTCAGGGACACTATAAACCATATAATATAGATGCTTAATGAAATTTGTATCACTGTTCCAATTACTCTAATTTCTGCTCCATATTGAAATTGAATTTTATGCTCTGTCAATAGACTATTGGCTAACATATGAGAATCTTGTGTTTGGTTTGAACTAGTTATCACTATAACTTACCGCATATTCATTACAATATTTATTGTAGATAGAACATTGTTCTGCAACTAAAAGAGTATTGATATATTATACACGTCAGTCATACTAGACGGAATAAAGTTTTGAAACATTTCTGCTAGGATTTTGATTACTTCTTCATTATTGTTTTCCTTTATTAAATTTTCCTCTTTATTTTGAGCGTGTGTGGGTTGGGATTGTAATTTCTTGGTTGGCTTCGTTTTGACAAGTTGATTTTCAATTACTATAGCTCAAAAGGGCTCTCCAAACGACAAGGCTTCTACCGTCAATGCAGCCCAAAAAATCCTGCTCCACAATCTCATGATCCACCTAAAAGAGGTTTGTTATTTTGTCAAGAGGTTGAACGACCAACAAGTTCACTGACATGGCTCCAAAAGTTATGTTTTCTGCTTTTATGCAGGGTTTGGTTCCCATGAGCCATATCATGCATAATGGAGGAACATGTACATCTATGTGCCATATTTTCTCATTGAAGGAAAATCTCTATGGATTATAACTTTTTTCTTGGTTCTTTTCATTTAATAATGATCATTTTGTGGTTTCTAAGTATATATATATATATATATTACTTCTATGATATCTTCATTATAGACACAGGTATTGCTAGTGAGAAGGACTGGGGAATCAACTTGCTAGATGAAAGTGTCAAGGAATCTGGAGTAAACGAAGATGGAAGCACGTGGTACCGAGAAAGTGGAGAAGACCTAGGGGATAATGGATTCAGGTGTCGCTGGGCTAGAATGGGAGGTCGAAGCAGTGACGGTTCCTCAGAATGGAAAGAAACCGTATGTTTTCTGTTACTAACTTACTGTTGCTTTTGGTCTTCTAAAAAACATCCTTCATTTTACTTTATGAATCATGTGTGTTGAAAAGAAAATGGAATTGCAGTGAGTAACCCTTACTTGTACTTACGAATTTTATAGTTTTGGACTGTTTTCTTTCTTTTTTTGTTATGATAAAGATATAGGTTTGGATTTGTGTCAATTAAAGTGTTCCGCTTGCTATTATCTGGGCAATAAACGGATATGCTTCGGATATATTACAATTTGATGCAATTAAAGTATGATCTGATGGAATTATTTATTGTAGCACGTAGCAGGGGTTATATTGCAAAGGCGTAGTGTATCTTATTTGATCATCTTTGTTTCTTTCTTTTCACC